CACGGTGAGGGGCCTCGGGGCGCCTCCCTCCGCCGCCCGGCCGGGAGTGGGGGTCGCCGCCCTTGCAGGAGCAGCCTTTCAACACACCTCCTCAAGCTCCGCTCACGGGCGGTTTTCACCCCTGAGCTGAGCTGATCTGATCTGAGCCTGGCTGCGCGTTGGAAAGTGAGCCTAGTTTTGGGCCGAGGGGACGTTGTCGTTCCCCTCGGGAGCTGTGTCCAGCTGCTGGCAGATGAGAATGGGATTTGTGTTTGAATATTCTGATAACCGGTGAACTAGAGAGCGCAAGGTACTACGTGCGTGTCCTGGCTAGTCAGTGAGTGATGTGTTGAGTAGGTATGGCTTATCTTGTGCAACTTCATTAGTTGTCAAACCAGTGCTCCCCCAACCGCAGTGCAGGGGTCACCCTTGTGTGGGTAGGTTCTCAGCAGTTTTGTAAGTGACAAGTCTATTTTCCAGTCAATGAAGGCAACTTTCAGAGATCTCCAGCCCTGATTTGTGAATGTTCAAGGTGTATTGTAACAACAGGAAATGCAGCCTTTAGAATTAACTTGTATCTTTGGTTCAAAAGATCCTTTGTGTCCTTATTTCAGTATCTTTGAAAGTGTATCTTTGCAAATAGTGTTGAAGTACATTTGTAGGTGTTTTAATATTAAATGTTATTTTAGCTGTATGTATGGTGCCAAAGGAATACAGAATGTGGACCCACCCTAAAAGTGATGATGATGAAGAACTGCTCACAAACGTAGAGTTTTTGCGGAATCAACTGAGGAGAACTGAAAGAGACCTACAAAATGTAGGGGAAGAGCTTTCCAGGTATGGATGGGTTTGGGAATGAGAACAGAAGCCTGTTGCGTGTAGTTTAAATCTATCTTGTTCAGTGTTAAGGATTATTGCAAGTAGCTCATTTTGTGTTTTGCTTTTGACTACTCTTAAGTAGGGTAAAAGTATTTATAAAAAAAAAAAAAAAAGTAGAAAGTTGTTACTGCAGCTTTCTTTCTTCCTCCTAGCACTAGTGCAAGTGAACTTTCTGACCATTTTGAAGAGGCTGCAGACCTCACTCTGGAGGATCTTGTTCAACCTAATTGCAACTGTCAAGGCTCTTCCAGTTGTAAGAAAAATGCTGGTAAAACATCTTGCCAGGAGAGAGATTTTCAAAGAAAATCCAAAGTAAACATTGCTCTTTGCTACTTATTTTTACTTTATTTTGTTTGTTAGATAGTCTTTTATATATTTATGAATACTTTTTTGCTTTTTATGTCTTTGGGTTGATAACGCTTTAGCGTTGAACTGTGCTATGTCACTGCTGTTACGTCACTGACCACTTCTTAAACATAACATCATTTAAACAAAACTGTTCTATGGCAATTCTTTGGTGAACATATTACTTATGTGTGTGTGTGCATATGTATATATTTTAATGTCTAGTCCTACTCAGTATCTACAACCTGCGATAAAACTGTGGAACAAGAAAATAAGCATCTTAAGGAGAAGCTGAATGCACTTCATGAACAGAATGCATCTTTGACTTCTCAGAACCACTACCTAAAGAATAAAGTTGAAACAATCAACTTTGAATTGATGCAGTCAAAAACAAGAGTATGTATCTTTAATGTATTTTTTTCTCTGGAAAAATATCACCAGCGACCATGATTCTTGAGTTCATAATTCCGGGTGGAATGTGCTATTTTTCTGTCTTGACTTATTCTAATCAAGTGTTTTTTAATAGTTATAGTAGTGTTTGTCACTAATTTTAGGAGAGAATAGTTTGGAATCTATTTCTCTATGAGCAAAGCAACTGTATTTATTATAAATTCTGTCTACTTATGTTCCAGAATTTTTTTATTAAGCCAGTAAGTTGTAGAATGAGAGTAAGTCATAGAGTGAGAACTTGTTGTGCTAGGTGCTATATTAAAGGGGGGAGGGGAAACCCTGTTCCTGCCCCCCCACATCATAAAATGTGATAATAAAGAGATGGAAGAATAAATTATGTGAGAAAATGTTTAAATGATGTAGCTAGTATTGCACGTTCAGGTGGCTAGGTATATTTTTCTGGGCTATGTTAATGTGAAGATTTATAACAGTAGTTATACTGTGTCTAGGAAGTGGAAAAATGTTGAGCTTTTGAATTAAATAGCATTGCTATTTAGAAGAAGTGAAGATAAATTCAAAAGAAATACTGTACATAATGAATCATTATGACAGCATATGCTTATATATACTTTTTTCAAGACAATTGCATTGTTGTATTTGGTGTAAATGTAACAAAATATAGCTATGCTTTACACCTCTTGCCTGAGAAGTGTTATCTTTAAGTACAAATGCATAGATAAACAAAATTGATTTTCCTGCCACAGGAAGGACAAGTAGAGGAACATAAGTGTGGGGGAGAAACCAAGAGACAAGATCAACATGTAAAGAAACCACTCTGCTGACAGTGTATCATACTAGAATGGTGCTAGGGAACTGGGAAGGTGTTAAACGAGCAGAAAGTTGGAGGTCAATTTATATATATATAACCAAGCATCTTCTACAGCAAAGTTAAGGGTGCTGTGCTCTTCAATAAACAGGTACTTCTTGTGCATTTTATCTGAAGGTATATATGCAAGTGTTAATGAAACCCCAAATATGTTTGTATTTCAGATTTCTTATCTTGAATCAGCTCTAGGTATGCGTTCAGCCAGCATTCCTAAACTAGAAGAACAAATTGTAAATTTGGAAGCAGAAGTTTCAGCTCAAGACAAAATTCTGAGGTAGTAAATGTACTTTTATAATGAAGGTTTTATTTTGGCCTGATTGTTAAGCATAACTTCTTTTTCAGGATCACATAATGGTGATTCCATGGGGGTCATGAGGTGTGGGTTTTGAAATTTTCCCTTCAAAGTCATGTTTATGAGAGGGGACATGTTTTGTTTTATATTGATATCTTATGTATGAAGAATGTGCTTTAGGAAATGGAGGAAAATAGTAAAGGCTAGTAAAGGGATGAGTTTATAATCTACACTAAACATGAATGTGCCCTTATAACTGAGTCATGTGTACGCTGCATGATTATGTAACTTACATAGTTAAAAAAAAAAAAATACATTATTTTCAAATGTGATTTTGCAGCAGATCATTTCTTCACAAGTATGTCATTCAGTACAAATGGCCAAATAAAGCTAATATAACCAAAATATCCAGAAGCTGTCAGGAAGACACAGTTGTCTCAATTTCTTAATAGCTGAAGCTATATAATATTCAAATAATACCTTAATCAGCCTGTTCTCACAAAGCAAGTAAAATACTTTAAATGTTGTTTGGTGGGTTAGTAGTGTTCTTTGCCATACTGGTTCTGGACCAGTCATAACTATGTCCAGAAAAATAGCGTTTTTTTTTGTGTTCAGATCTTTCTGTAACTCAAAGTCTATCATTTGAGTC